TGTTACATCCCTCATTTCTGGTGACTGATTCAACTTAATACTACTATCACTGACTGTGTGCCATATTCTTGCCCGACTCTGACACTAGGCCTTGTAGCTTTATTTTCCAAAATTGCCATCACCATCTAGTTTCAATATTTTCCCTGATGTTTGGATTTAAATTGAAAATGGGTAGATTTAGATTAGATATCAAGAAAAAATTCTTCATGGAGAGGGTGGTGAAGCACTGGAACAGGTTGCCCAGAGAAGCTGTGGATGCCCCATCCCTGGAAGTCTTCAAGGCCAGGCTGGATGAGGCTTTGAGTGGAAGGTGTCCCTGCCCATGGCAGGGAGGTTGGAACTAGATCTTTAAGGTTCCTTCCAACCTAAACCATTCTATGATTATGTGAGAAATGGAGTCCTGATGTGCTCAGAACTCTGCCAGTTCTGGACATTAGATAACAAAGGCACTAATAATTCTCCAAACCTTTCTCCTGGTTCTTTCAATAAATCCTTGTCTTATGGAGCACAGACATGGTCCTATTCACTCCTTTTTTTTTTGCCATGGTGTGCACAAAGTCTTACGTTTCTGGTATTCCCTCATCCTGAAGAAGAAAGGAGGGTGGAGATAAATTTTTAGAACTTGGAGGTCTCAGTGAGTGTATTTGGCATTTAAAGTTTTGGTTAGTCATGTTTCCTATTACAGTCTTTTCTTTAGATCTAATGAAGCTTTTCTTCATTACTCTTAATTTGTAAGATACCTTTCTCTTTGTGAAAATTCACTTAGTTTACTGGAAGTATTTTGAGTCATGTGTTTCAAGTCCTGTAAAACTTTGCTATTGTAGGCTTTTCAGAATCAACCATCGTAGCTTGCTCTCTGCTCAGCTGTCAGAATTAAGAAGGATCTGCATCTGCATTTAATTCCAGTGTAGCAATAAGGTTCCCCCACTACAGGGGTCTTCTGTGAGGAATCTCTGTGTGTCTTACCCAGGAATTGCAGTAAAAACCTACCGAAGTTAACTGTGGTATATGACCTGATGTATCATTTTATATGAAGTTACACAATTACAGTTGTGACTTTCCAACAGTGGTTGAAAATACTTTACCAACCATGCAGTCAGAGGATGCATGTGAAGAAACACTTCTTCCAGTATCCTTCTGGGTCCTTTGATGGGCATTTACTTCCCATGTCTAGTGACAGATGAATCAAAGTTAAACTAGGATGTATGCTTGGGCGTTCTGCAGAAGTAGTCTGGGAGCCTAAATAAAAATCTTAGTGCATGTGAAAGTATCATGAATAAGAACAGTGTAATAAGAATGTAGAAGTTTTAAATTTGTTTTTCAGGGAATAATTTGTTGAGCCTTAAGGCCTAATTCTGTGTCTATATAGGCTGGCAGAAAGGGATCCTCGAGTAGAAAGCAATATGCTGGTGAGACTGATGAACTCTGCATGACATCAACTCACTAGTCTTCCACCTTTCTGCCTTTCCAGTTCCCAGAGCAATTACGCAGAAAATCAAAGCAGAAAGCTCCATCACTCGTAAGGGCAATTAAAGACCATTTTAGATCTCATAATCCTAAAATAGGAGTTCCTCAATGGATTTGTTTCCAATAAAAACACGAAGTGCCTAGCATGCTCTTCCCCAGTGGGAAGGAAGACCAGGACTTCTGGTTGGAAATGGTGATGTGATAACAAAGTTCATTAAATCTTTTTCCCTCTTCCACCAATCTTTTCAAATCCAGGTATTTCTGGCAGGGCCAGTGGAAGACCATCACTCAGACTATGAGTCTTTCCTCCCATCTCTTCCTAGGCTTCACCAGAGTTCATAAGAGACTGAAGATCGAAGTGAAAGTTTCAGATGGATGCTCTGATTTTTGTTACACTTTCTCAGTGTCAGTCCGTCATTGCCTTTTTGTTCAATTTCTCTTTGCTCCTAGTATAAGTATACTGCATTTCTTTCATACTCAGAAATGGATCTACTCTATTTTCTTTTACAAAAAAATAGTACTAATTTCATACTGGTTCTTTATTTGCATCTGATTTCTTATAATCTTATCTTTTACTTCTTTAAATTTATACTTTACATCTGTAATGCATAACAATTTACATGTATTTCGACCTTAGAATCTTTTGAATGTGTACTGATAGACTCACATTTTTTAGTATGTGTCCTAGTGGAATATAGCTGTTGGGCTTATCCCATCACTAAGGTTTTGCAGTGCCAACTAACAGAGAATTTGACTTGCCTATCTGGAGCTGTCTTCATTTAGAGATTGCATTGCTTCGATTATAGAAAATTATAAACATGCTAATATAGTAGCTCTATTTAAGTCCTTTATATTTTTTTATTTATTTTTGTAAAGGAAGGAGATTTACGTCAATATGAAAATGGAGCTTTTATTGGGGCTTTTGCTGGCTATAACTAGAGTGACAGCAAGATGTTATTTGTGGAAAACATTTATTTCTTATATCTAAATTACACATAACGCTTCTTTTTATGATCTATTTTTCAACAGCTTAGTTGATATAAATTTTCTTTTCTTGTCTTGGTGAGCGGGAATAATGGTGGAATGATATGGGTTATTTCATTGTATAAGCATGATCTGCACCTTGTGTTACCTGCTTCATGGTTTTTTGTAAGGCTTGAGTTAAATCAAAGGCTTTTCAAGGAGGAAACAAGAAGCAAAACAATAATAGCGATAAGGAGATAATGAGAAGAACTATTGGGTGGAAAATGCTCCTGATAAGATCCTACCACACAAGCATGGTTTACTATCCCCAGTGCTGAAAACCTAGGATCAGAGAATTTGATCTTTAAAGATGATGCTACGTAAAGCAAGAAGTACTGAACAGATTTTTGCATATTTTGCTATAGAGGCACATCTGTGAAAGATGTACAGAACTGCAGCAAGCAGGCCGGTGGTCCCAGCCAAGAAATGAGAATGAACCTGCATTATTGAGAGCAGATATAAACTTAGGAAAGGAGTTATGGGTACAGAACTCTGCTTCCTTTGCTCATGTTCCTATATACTCTAGTCCTTTCAAAAGTAATTATTGTTTGTTTTGTTTTTCTGTTTTTGGTTTGAAGAAGTTGTTTCTTGAGATTCTGCTGTCCATTATTTACAGGTCACTGAAGATAAATGTCTTGCAAGTTCCAAACCCATTTGTGACTGTCAGGTTAAAATGGCTGTTAAACAGGAGAATACAACACAAGACTAAGTGGAAAGGCTGGAGGGTAAAACTGATTCCAAAGAACGACACTTTTAAAGGGGAGAAAAACCTAGTTACAATTATCTGGCCAGAATAGCACCTGGCTGTGTATTGTGGCCACATCAACAAAAAAACTTATTTTAGTTAATAAAAATTATTTTAGAAAATATATTTTTCATTATAAGCTTCAGGATTTTTCCTAATGAAATTGAAAGAAGCTATGTACTTGTGTTACACACTTGATGTATTTAGGCTATTTATGGAGTGGATAGTCTAATTTATATTCAGTAGTACTAGTTTATTGAAATGATGTACCCATTTTAATATGCTAGTTTTTACCTAATACAGGTTATTATTTAAAATGAACCTTCTCTGAAGGCATTGTTCTTCTGTTCTGTAACCTTAGCCATATATTTCCAAATACGTGATTCCAGAACTCATTAAACCACAACTTCTTCCTCATCTGCAACCACATTACGGCTGATTACGGCTTTTCAAACAACTGATTGTCACAGTGCTACAGTAAATGAAAGAATGAAAGCACTCACCAGAGAAGACATTCTGGAGTTAAAGTTCTAGCTGCAGCATTAATTCACCTATATTTCACCAAACAAATATTGTGGGAGTAGTTCTCAGTTACCGGTTGCCTGCCTGCTTGCCCCCCTGGCTTCCTTGTCACAGGGACTGCTTATGTCACTGCTCTTCTACGCACGCTCCCAGTGCCAGGGGTTTGCACTCCATAGTATGTCTGAGGACTGAATGACTTCTAAAATTCTACAAAGTGGGCAAATTAAGTGTGATTTGAAGCATACTAAAACTCTGGGGTTATATACAAAAAGCTTTTGCATATTTAGACTGATGACAGTGCTCTTTCAGTTTGAAGTCAAAACTGATGAGATTGTTAGGGTCTTGAAACAGAATCTGTGTAATAACCATGACATTTGAAAAATCTGCTATTACTACTGTACAGAACACAATTTCCATTGACCATCTTCATAATTAAATATTGGTTCAACAAGGCTGCACTAATTACATGCATACACACATTTTTTATGTTTACTCTTGGTAGTCTCTTTCACCAACGTTTTCTCCATCTCTTTTTTGTGTACTCAGTATTCTGCAAGATATCAGCAACCTTGATGAATTTATACCTGTTCTTTACCAAAACTGGACAGGTTAAGGCCATCTGGTTTTGTTAGGTTGTTTTTCCTACACAGAACATGTATTTTTTATCATGGAATTTCTTAAGTGAATGCTTTTAGATTCAGTATTTGTATGTGGAGTTGTTATAATTTCTACCAATACAGGACTGAAAAGCATTAAGATCTATGCAGACAAATAGTGGAAACTGATCGCTACAAACAAGATTGAGTATCAATAAACAAACTTAGCAAACACAATAAGGACAAATTCATGAAATCACCAAAATAGCACAGACCAGGTCTTAGTATTCATAGCTATAACTTAGCTTTTGTGATTAGAGATAACTCTTAATTACACTGATACTAATGTCAAAGAAATAGCAAACAGATATGAGTCAAAGAATAAGGAGAAAAATATATAGCACAGGAAAAGTGACCATCAACAAGAAGGAATACATTTATTCTACAAAGAAACTATACAGACCTACCATATGTTTCAAGTAATTTCTTCAGCTCGTCTAGGGCAAGTTTAAATTATTAGAGGTGTTTGGCATTGGTTCATTAAGTCTTTCATCTCATCTTATCAGAGATGAAAAAAACTGCTTTCTCTTTGACCCCATTAGCAAACATATTGGTAAAGGCTGAAAAAATGGTTACATTTTACTTACCCTCATCCTTCCATTTCTTATTGCTGGTCCATCTTCTGCTAACCTCAGCACATACAAATCCATTTTGTACTCCCTTCCTCCTCGAATACTAAAACCAAACCCTTTGGCTCCTTTCTCCAAATCAACGGTGAAATAATCAAAGTCCTGTACAGACAAATACAAATGAAAAACAATTAACCATATGAATGTCATGGTATTCATTCAAGAAAACTTAAAAATATATCTCCCCAAAAGTGCATCTATCCAACTGATAAAAGCAAAGGGACCTTCAAAGTATACCTCTGCACTGACAGACTTTGTCCCTTTCTGAAGACACTTCAGCAAAATGTACATGCCTAAATCTAAACCACACTGAAAGAGCATCATCCAGCAGTTGCCTGGTACCAAAAGCTCTCCAGATGACTTCCATATTCACTCTCAATACTTTCATGGTACCTGGGTGTAAGTGTTCAGGTCTATGCAGAAATGCTGATTTGGCAATTGGGGTAGCAGTTAGTTCCTGTATAAGCATCATCACAATTAAAACTCAGTAAGAGAGGCATCTCCTAAATTCCCAGCAGAAGTTAACAAGATCAGCAGTCTGGACTGCATGGAGTCACAAACTACGGCAACTCTCATCACTTTGGTTAAAACATGTGCTTTGGGGTGAAGGTGGGAAGTAGGAGATTTAAGAATTTGGATATTTTCATTGATATGGTTTATGTGTCTGGCTTTGAAAACATGGACGTAGAAACCATCCATATATGGTTCCAGTATATAGTGTTCAGAAGCTTACATTCTCTTATTTAGTATTTTTCTAACCTCTGTCTTTTTCTGCCTTTATATAAGGAAAAAGGAGGATTTTTTTTGAACACCTGAACTTTAGGCTAAATCCTCAAATCTTCACAGCTGTCAGTAAATATTTGTCATCAGCAGAGTCTTTTCCAAGGTAACATAACTGTTCATCTAAGATTTACTTCTTGGAATTTGTAAGGTCATGCCTAATGTCAGAGAAACTACTTGCATAAGCTAGTTTCTCCTCCTCCAGACTATTATGAACAGAAATTTAATTTTATCAATCAGGCTTTCTTCCTTTCTTGCTTTCTTTCTTTCTTTCCTCCCTTCTTTCCTTCTTTTCAAATTAGATATAATATTCATTTTCAACGATGCTGTAGAAAAGCAGTCTGAGCTAAGTACATGCACTGTTTGCTGACTGTATTGTGCTCCTAGGGATAAAAAAAATTATGCGCTGATGCAAGGGCAGATTATTTCAGAGCTTTTATTTTAACTCTCCAGTACCTGAAAAATAGCACTTATTTAACATTATAGTCCCACAATTATAAATGTAGTGTTATTTGACGGATCACATAGTTCCTCATTAATATTAATGGTTGTGAAGTTATTTTGTCTACAGAGAAACAGTAACTCAGAGTAAAAACAATAAAGATGCATTTTTCTTCTGTGATGTCGTCTTTCTTACCTATACATGACCTCTCCCTACAGGCCCTAATGCTTTCTGTTGAGGAGTGCCCTAAGGATTTCAGCTTGTACCTGGGGCTGCCTGTACTCTGACAGAGGGTACTGCCTGGTGTCGGGCGAATGTTGCCTGTAATCTATCAAGGGTGGCTGCCTGTAGTCGAGAGGTGGTGGCTGCTGGTAATCCATCACTGGTGGATGCCGGTAGTCCAGCGGAGGCTGTCGGTAGTCCGTTGAGGATTGCCTGTAGTCCGTGAATGGAGGTTGCCGGATATCAGGTTTCACATCCTGTCTGGCTTTTACTTCTGACCTATAACTGAGAAAGGCAAAATGACTTAGTTTCAGAAAGTGGAAGAACATTAAAAATATGCATTACATGCAATATTGAGGAGTGTAAGCAAACTGCCTGACAGCAAAATTGCATAAAATAAATTTTCACAGAGAAGCAAAACTTTGGAGGGAAAATAGACAAGACATCCAGAAACAGTGAGTGCTTTTGAAACATGGACATAAGCAATTTTCCCTCAGGTCATACTGTGCAGTCTTCCACCTCATATCAGTGAGAGCAGGATTAGGGTCAAAGGGGCAGGAACAGGAAAAGCATCTTCATTCCCACTTATCTTGCCTACATGGAAGATGAAACTGCATGTAGAAAACATCCACAATAATTGGTATCAACAACAGTTGCTACAAAATAATGGGCTGAGATTATAAAGTGCTTTTTTCCCCAGAATTAAGATTTCTAGAGAGTAAATGAAACATGAGTGCAGACATTTATAGCTCCTCTGTTCCATTGACATAAACTATTATTGTGAGCTTCTTAAAATTAGAAGAAGATACATTCTTTGTATTAGCTGTTATCTTTTTAATGAAAGGTATTCTTTGATCTGTTAATATAGTGTGTATCATTATTATTACACAGTCCCTATAATACTATCTGGCTACAAACCCGTAGCAGGTCATATCAGTAGTTATGCACAGAAGTAATACAGGGTGAAAGGAAAACAAATGTAGTTAATGAGGAATTAATAAAAAGTAAAATATTGCTGTAATTGGTAACTGGTACAGGTAGATGACTCCTAACATGTCAAAGAAAATGTGACTTTCTGTAGTATACCAACTAGTTAATTAATTTACTCGGATGGGAATGGATGGCACTCTTACCACTTGGAAATCAGCGCATAATGGCATTTCACACTTCTGGGTGAAGTAAGGAATGTTTCTTGCTGCAAACCTCTGTACCTCAGCCATGTAACATGCTGAATGGGCACAAAGGAAGTCCTGAAACTTTTTATAGCAAGGTAATTCTGTAATAGTGGTTTGAGTTAGATTTAACAAAAATGTTGACACAGTGGATGTTTTTACACTCTTCCCTAGGTGTGGAAGGAAATACTTTTTTCCTATGCAGGAAATACACATTTTAAACTCTGCTTTAATAATGGTCTGGAAGGTTCCCAATATACAACCACAGCTGTATCCCAGAAGATGATGCTTTTATATACAGTTAGGGGCACTGTAATTGTTGCTGAATATGTAAATGGTGATATGATCAATTATAGCTTATGCTTTCCAGTTAAACTATTACAGAATCGTTTTTGAGACCTTTAATTAATATAGTCTACTGGTCCACTCTGAAAATTCCCAATTCAACAGACATTTAATACTGATTTACAACTGTGCAGAGAGACTTTTGTGAGAGGTTTGCATTGGATTTTGTCAGAAATATATGCCTTCTAGGAGGTGATGACTTTTGAAAAAAGGACTCAGTGAAACATAAAGCAAAGAAATTTGCCAAGTGTGAAACCCGCATCTACTATCTGCGGAAGAGGGTTTTGATGAGGTATGTTGGTTACTGAAGATTAGCATAAAGACAGTCAGTGTAATCAGCCTCATTTAACAAGCCAAAAATTATCCCAAAGCCTAAATAGTGTTGATTGGAGATCACAGAAAGTTGTATCATCCTTCTGCCTGAATGTGCTCTAAGGATACAGCTGGTCACAAAATTTCTATCTCCCTACCATTTAATTCCCATCAAAGATAAATTTGGCAGTGCATATGCTTAAAATACACATGAGAAATCGTCTGGAAAATGATACACCATAGACCAAAACTGTTGTAAAAATATCTTCCTGAGTCCAGAACTCTGACACCCTCAAAAAAACTCCATGTAAGATAATGAAAAAAAAGGCCACCTCACAATTAGATACTAGTATAACTGTATTTTGTATGTTGTAGTGATGTAAGAAAATAGTATTGTGCTGGTTTTAGTCAGGACAGAGTTCAATTTCTTCACAGTAGTTGGTATAAGGCTATCTTTTGGATTTGCCCTGAGAATGGCACTGATAAGGTGGTTTTCAATTGGTGCTGGGGAGTGCTTGAACCAATTCAAGGCCTTTTTTCAGCTACTGATACTTTTTTCAGCTGTGTTCCCAACTTTCTCACTACAAGCAGTGTAGGGGACACACAGTTCAGATAGCTGACCCAAACTGACCAAAGGGGTATTTCATTCCATAGTATGGCATGCTCAGTATATAAGCTGGGAGTGGGCTCTGGGGGCCATAGTTCGTTTGGTTGTTCAAGATTGTTTGCTTGGTCATTCGTTAGCTCATTTGTTCGTGAGTTAGCTTGTTCGTTTAGCTCATTTGTTTATGTGTTCAATAGTGAGTTGGTGGGTCGGTTGGCTTTCTGGCGTGATCTCTCGCTCATGGGCCTCACGCGGCCCCTGCTGTGATTGCTCTCGGGCTCTTTGGCTCTGACTCTGGCTACTCAGGACCTAGCTGTCTACCAATTGGCGGGTGGTGAGAAACTGTATCATATGTTTTATTTTCTATTATTTTAAGTACTTATTTTTAGTAGTATTGTTAGCATTATTAGTTTTACTATTTTATTAGTGTATTTTCAATTATTAAATTTTTCTTATCTCAGTCCATGAGGTTTCTTGTCTTCTCCTCCAATCCTCCTCCAGAGAGGAGTGGGGGAGGTGAGCGAGTGGCTGTGTGGTACTTAGTTGCTAGCTGAGGGTAAACCACAAGTATGATAGCAATCATTAGCAAGGAATAATTCAGTGTTTAGTTCCATGGCAAACATACAATCCTGATGGATGTTTGAGGAAGGATGACTAGACCCTTGTTCATAATGATGTGTTTCATACCTGAACAAGATCTACAGATCATCGTGGCATGCATAATTCATCCTCTGCAAGCACAATCATGGG